GGAAATATACCTTCTATGCAATGAGGTAGCTGAGAATAAAGGTTCAGAATATAGGGTAAGTACGTAAATGTGGACACTGGGAGTTAGTTTGCTGAATTCCGATAATAAAAGATTTATATTTTTTGGGGAGGGGGGGGGGCCATTGGCGACCGCCTTCAAAAGGCTGCGCGTGAGTGTGTGACCCCGAAGAAAGCAGAAGTGTCCGCTTCGCTTTTGCGTGAGCTTTGGCGTCAGCCGGGCGGACGGTGGCACGACCAGAGGCGCGCGCGGGAGACGTGGGCGGGGCAGGCGGCGGGGCAGCCGCGGTGGGACGGCTGCGGCGGATCGGCTGCGGCGGATCGGCTGCGGGGCGGGGGCGGGGGCGGGGGCCACGCGGCGTGCGCACGCACCCGGCCCCCTCTGCGTCAAGCAGCGCGTGCAAGTTCGAGTCGCCAAACACACGGACGGCGTGGGCGGCGCGGCGCGGCGGCCGGACCCGCGGCGTCGGCGGCGTCAGAGGCGGCGCTGCGCGGAGGGCCGCCTCTGCGAGGGCGGCCAACCGGCGGTGCTTGCTCCCGCTTGGGTGTATGCCTAGGTGCTGAAGACGCCAACGTCGGGGGGGGGGGGGAGAGAGAGCAGTCAGTGCATTCTCTGAATACGAGGGGATGCAAACCAGTGAGTACAGCGGAGTGCGGTGCAACACAGCGGAGTACGTGTCCTCTCGAGCGCTAGTTGGAGTACACGTAGCTCCTATGGTTGGATGCCATCTGCCGACGCCGGCCCGCGTGGCGCCCAACCGCCTAGGCCGTCCGCCGCCTACGTTCATGAATATGCCACCCTCAAGGCGGGAATGCGGTGATGTGCAGAGTGCTCAGAGCGCCGCGTGAAAGCACGGGGCTACAAAGACAGTGAACACCGCGGAATACGGCGAGCACGGGGCTACAAAGACAGTGAACACCGCGGAATACGGCGGAGTACACAAGAGTGCGTGTCCTCTCGAGCGCTGGTTTGGAGGACACGAAAGGACGTCTTCGGCGGAGTACACGAATGCGCCTCGCGGCCGAGGTCGAGCAGCAAGCAGCGCTCGTCGCGCGGCGGGCTCACGGCGAAGCGGCGGCACTCCTCGGTCGCGTTCGTGTCGGTCGACTCGCACGCCGTGTCGGTCGACGTGTTCGAGTCGAGCGATCGCTCCGACGCGCCGCTCAGCTCGTCGCCGCCGTCCGTCGGCCCGGCGGCATCGGCCGCGGCCGCGACGGCGCGCAGCCACTCCGCCCCGCGCTGGTAGTCGGCAAACGCCGCCCGCAGCGGGGCCGCGCAGAAGCCGCCGAACGGGAGAACGAGCGCCAGCAGCGGCGTGGCGCCGAGCGCCGCGCGCGCGCCCCACAGCCACGCGTGAGCCGCGGCGCGGACGGCGTCGTCCGCGGCGCCGCACAGCGCGTCGTTGGTGCCCTGGTTGACGAGGACGAGGTCGGGCACGCCTGAATGCGTCGTGGCTCGTGACTAGCTACTCATCACTACTGGCCGACGAGGACGAAGTCGGGCGCACCCTCCGACGCAGCGCCGCTCTCCGACGCCGCGCCGCCCGCCGCGCCGCCAAAGCGCGCCGCGCCCGCGCAGAGGGAGCGCCACGACTCGCAAAAGGCGGGCGCGCCGCCGTTGCCAGCCACCGTCCAGCCTACGTGGGGAGATATGGGGAGATGTGGGGAGATGTGGGGAGATGTGGGGAGATGTGGGGAGATATTGGGAGATGTGGGGAGATATGGGCCTAGTTGATGAGCACCGTGTGAGTGCGAGGGGCTGCGAACACGGTGAATACGGCCGAATACGGCTGGATACAGCGGAGCACGTGTCCTCTCGAGCGCTAGTTGGAGCACAAGAGTCCGTCTTCCGCTTCTAGGCCGTCTAGCCTTGACGCCCAAACGAGACGACCGTGGCGTCGGCGCCGAGCGACTGGGCGAGCAGCCACGCCCACGCGGAGCTGACCGAGTTGCAGCCGAGGTCGCCGCCCTCGTCCGACTTGCTGCGCGTGCGGCACAGCACGCCCTCGGTGATGGAGTCGCCAAACGCGAGCAGGCGCAGCGCCTAGAAGCTTCCGAGAAGGCTCCGGGAAGGACCGAGAAGGTGATGGAGTCGCCAAACGCGAGCTGGCGCAACGCCTCGGTTGGCGGCGGCAGCGGGACGGAGCGCGGCGGCAGGACCAGCCCGCAGAGGCGGAGCGAGGCGGGCGGCGGCCTGGGCGGGGCGTCGCCCTCGGAGCTGGTGGCGCCTGGGCCGGGCGAGGGCGGAGAAGGGGTGAGGCGCCGGGGCGGAGCGCGCGGGAAATGCAAAATGCGGTGTCGCGCTGCCCCAGCGGTCGGCGCTCTGCACGGCCGCCTCGATCTGTACCGTCAGCTCGTAGACGTGCACCTCCTCGGCTGGTGGCGCCGGCAGCGCCACGAGGCCCGCCGCGTCCGCCACCGGCCGGAGACGAGTGGGAGCGCAGCCAGCGTACCGCACAGTCAGCACCATTGGCAGCGGCTCTCCGGCGCGCGACGACACGGCCAGCGCGGGCGCGGCGGGTCCATCGGCCGCCCGCCAGCGCGCGCGCAGGTAGGCGCCGGGCGCCGACGCCGCCGCCGCCGGCCGGCTGGCGTCCGCGTAGCTCTGCCAGTGCCACGCCGAGAGCTGGAGGTGGCGGTCGCTGGGCCGCAGCCAGACGGGCGCGTCGCCGTCGCGCCGCCGACGCAGCAGGCCGTTGGCCAGCGCCTGGCGCTGCGGGATGGTGCCGACCTGCGCCTCCTTTAGCCGCGCCAGGAAGTGCGTGCGGGACGCGAGGACGTCTGACTCGAGCGTCTCGAGGCTGCACAGCCCGGCGGCGGAGAGAGGACCCGCGAGCGCCTCGAGCCGGAGCGCCGAGAGGGCGGTGGAGAGTGGCTCGTCGAGGTCTGGCGGCATTCCCAGCTCTGCTCAGCGCAGCGCGTTGATACCAAGCGAGGCTCTCAGCACGAACGGCGACAGCGCGAAGGCGGAATGCCAGCCGAGCGGCCCGTGTGCTGCTGAACCCCTCCGCTTCACACCGGCGGGTCCCCACCGCTCCCGCTTACCGCGCCCTTCTACTCGGGCTCTAGCTGCGCGGCGGCCGGCCTCGCCTCGCTTCCGCCCGACTACGTCCTCAAGGCGACTCATACGAGCGGCTGCGTCGTCGTGGTCAGGGGAGGGGTGGTGGTGGCGCATAAGACTTGCCGAGGCTACGATCAGAGCGTCGTGGGCGAGGAGGCATCGCCGGCCCTGGTGCGGCGGCTGTGCGAGGCGTGGCTCGCCTTTGGCTTCCAGGGGCGAGGCGGGCGTGAGTGGGCGTACTCAGCCGTGCCGCGCGGCGTGCTGGCGGAGGAGGTTCTGCCGGCGCCACACTCGGACGCGCAGGCGGTCGCGGAGGACATCAATTGCTGGACGGCGGGCGGAAGAACCCTCTTCATGCACCACACCCGCTCCCGCTTCGGCCATGCCGACAAGCGAGACACCTTTTACGACGCGCTCACGCTCCGCCCCCGCCTCGACATCCGTTTTGGGGCGGGGCCGTTCTGCGGACTCGGCCACCTCCTGGGCCTACCCGCCGCGCTCTGCCTGCCGCTCGCCTCGCGCGCCGATACAAACGCCTCGCGCTGGCTGAACGCGAGCGTGGTGAGCGAGGCGGCGCGCGCGTGCGACCCGCCACCACCGGCATCGACCTGCTGCTCGCCGCGCCGGCGCCGTCGCGGCCGCGCGGGCTGGTGCTCTCCGAGGTGACGCTGTACCCGTTCGGAGGCCGCCCGCATCTCTCGCCACGCTCGGTGGATGCCGCGCTCGCAAACGCGTGGTGCGAAGCGGGCGGACCCTACCGCTCGCCGCTGGAGTGAGGGAGAACCAGGAAGTAAACGCCGCGAAAACAATAAAAAAAAGAATGCATGCCGTTCTTATCGCAAAGAGAAAGCCTATAGCGGCGCGCGCGGCTCTCGAGATGCAGTAGAGTTCATGAGAGCCCGACCCGCCCCCAAGAGCCGAACCCCTGATGGTGGCGGGCAGCATCCACAGCGAGGCGGGCGCGGGAGCGAGTGACGCGGCCTCTTCCAGCTTACTGGGCAGCCTTCCCGCAGAGGCGGCGAAAGCGGCTGCAGAAGGCGACGAGGCGGCGCTGCTGGCGTGGCTTGACAACGACGGGCGGGTCAATGCGACCGACGGGGCGAACGGCATCACCGCGCTGATGCTGTCCGCCCGCCACGGCCAAGAGCGGGTTGTCGAGTTGCTGCTGCACCGCGGCGCGGAGATCAACCTGCAGAGCAGCGTCGGCCGCGCCGCACTGATATCCGCCGCCCGCCAAGGCCACGAGCGGGTGGTCGAGCTGCTGCTTCAGCGAGGCGCGGATATCAACCTGCAGGACAGCGAGGGCGGCACCGCACTGATGGACGCCGCCTTCAACGGCCACGAGCGGGTGATCGAGTTGCTGCTTCAGCACTTCGCGGAGATCAACGCGACCTGCTGGGTAGGCGACGTGAGCGGCTTCACCGCGCTAATGCTCGCCGCCCAGGAGGGGCACGAGCGAGTGGTCGATCTGCTGCTGCAGCGCGGCGCGGAGGTCAACAAGCAGAGGAGCGACGGCGGCACCGCGCTGATGCACGCCGCCCACCAAGGCCACGAGCGGATTGTCGAGCTGCTGCTGCATCGCGGCGCTCAGGTCAACAAGCAGAGGAGCGACGGCCGCACCCCGCTGATGCTCGCCGCCGCCAACGGCCACGAGCGGGTGGTCGATTCGCTGGTGGAGCGCGGCGCCGAGATCAACCTGCAGAATAGCATCGGCGGCACTGCGCTGATGGACGCCGCTGTGTTCGACCACCCCGCCGTCGTGCTCCGCTTGCTGCGTGCGGGCGTGGATACAAAGCTGCGCTCTGAACGCGGCAAGACGGCGCTGCAGTGGGCCAAGGAGAAGGGCCACGCCGAGTGCGTCGAGGCCTTCCGGCAGCACGTCGCGGAGGTGACTGCGAGCCAGCGCGAGGCGGCGGCGGGCGGCACGGGGCGGCGCGAGGCGGCGGCGAGAGGGGCGGGTGACGCTTCCTCGGGCGAAGCGGCCTCTTCCGGCTCGCTGGGCAGCCTTCCTGAAGAGGCGGCGAAAGCGGCTGCGGAAGGTGACGAGGCAGCGCTGCTGTCGTGGCTTGACAGCGGCGGGCGGGCCAACGCGACTTGTGGGGTAGTCGGTGTGAGCGGCTACACCCCGCTGATGCTCGCCGCCGCCAGCGGCTACGAGCGGGTGGTCGAGCTGCTGCTGCAGCGCGGCGCGGAGATCAACTTGCAGAGGAGCGACGGCTGGACCGCGCTGATGCGCGCCGCCCAGGACGGCCACGAGCGGATTGTCGAGCTGCTGCTTCAGCGAGGCGCGGAGATCAACAAGCAGAATAGCATCGGCATCACTGCGCTGATGCTCGCCGCCCAGGAGGGCCACGAGCGGGTGGTCGAGCTGCTGTTGCAGCGCGGCGCGGAGGTGAACTTGCAGGACAGCATGGGCCGCACCGCGCTGATGCTCGCCGCCCAGGAGGGCCACGAGCGAGTGGTCGAGCTGCTGCTTCAGCGCGGCGCGGAGATCAACTTGCAGGGCAGCGACGGCGGCACCGCGCTGATGCTCGCCGCCTACCACGGCAACGAGCGGATTGTCGAGCTGCTGCTTCAGCGAGGCGCGGAGATCAACCTACAGAGCAGCAGCGGCGGCATCGCGCTGATGCTTGCCGCCAACTACGGCCACGAGCGAGTGGTCGAGTTGCTGCTGCAGCGCGGCGCGGAGATCAACACGCAGGACAGCAAAGGCCGCACCGCGCTGATGCACGCCGCCGCCAACAACCACCCCGCCGTCGTGCTCCGCCTTCTGCGGGCGGGCGCAGACGCGGCGGCGCGCACCAATAAGGGCAAGACGGCGCTGCAGCATGCCAAGGAGAAGGGCCACGCCGGGTGCGTGCGCGCCCTCGAGGAGCATGCGGCGGCGGAGGCGGCGGCGGAGGCGGCGGTGAGGGAGGCGGAGAGAGCGGCGGCGGAGGCGGAGGCGACGCGGCATGCCGAGGCGCTGCTGGCGGGGGAGGAGGCGGAGAAGGAGGCGGAGGAGCGCGCCAAGGGCAAGAAGGGGAAGAAGAAGAAGAAGAAAGGGAAGGGCGGCGGGGGCGACGTTCAGCCGTCGCAGGAGCCCGAGGATCAGGCAGCGCTGGCGGCGAGAGAGGAGGCGGAGTTGGCGGCGGCGCTGGAGGAGAGCGCGAGGCTGGAGGTCGGGGCGACGCGTGCGGCGGGGGATCAGGCGCGAGTCGCCGAGGGCGCTTCGTCACCGGCGGAGGAGGCGCCGCGTGAGGGAGAGGAGGAGCCGCCGGACGACTTCGTCTGCCCGATCACGACCGAGCTGATGAGCGACCCGGTGATGGCGGCGGACGGGCATGCTTACGAGCGGTCGGCGATCGAGCGCTGGCTCGCGACCAAGTCGACGAGCCCTCTGACGGGCGGCGCGCTCGAGCACCCATACCTCACACCCAACCACATGCTGCGCCGTCAGATCCGGGACTGGGAGGCACGGCAAGGCCACCGGGGCTTGTGTGGTGTATCCGCAGCGGAAGAGTGAGCGATTAGGTGTGAATATAGTAAGTAGTACCTGCCCCTGTGTGCTCAGGCAGTCCTCTAGTGTGCCTGGACTTGGCCTGAGCAAATAGTAGCGTTTGGGGCGTGAATTTATTTAGCCGAAGTGGACCTTGCTTGCCCCCAACAATAACACACCAACTCTGTCGAACAAGGCTCAGACAATGACGAGGTGTGTGCACTCGGGTGCTGCTGTGCACTCACGCAGCTTGACCACATGCAAATGCACGTCTCTGACCGCATCGACATGGGCCGAACGTTTTTGATCTCTGGGTCAGTGGGCGCCCACCCGCCGCCTCTGAGGGGGTCGGGCCCCCTAGACTGAAAACACAAACAAAATGTAGAACCGTCAAAACCAGCCTGCGAGAGCGGCGCTGCGCGCCGCCTACTTCATGCGCGGTGCGGCGGGTCGTGAGTGACCCCCACGTGCCACGACCACGGCATCCCCAAAAATGGAAAAGTAGACCCTAGTCGGATGGGCACGAACCCGCGCAGCGCCGGCTTTGAGCCACGCGCCTCGATCTTCAGAGTCGCGTGCGCTGCCCCTTCCGGCAAGGACGACGACATCGAGGGGATGTCCATTGTTGCGCGATGGCGTCATCCATTTCGTCAAAGCCATGAAGTGATTCAAAGTTAAGTCAAGGTTCCAACCCCTCCCGCGAGAAGCCGATCAGAGACCTTGCCTGTCGCCGCTGTCGAGCGCTCTCGAGCCGCTGTTGAGCACCACTCCGGTCGGCAGCTCGGCACGATGTCTGGCCTCGCAAGCAGGCTTCTCGACGCGGCACTCGAGGATGGGGACAAAAAAACTCTGACATTTTACGAACTCCTTGGCGACGTGCGCGTCGCGTCGCCAAGGCTCTGCGACCTCGGTCGTACATCAGCGACCTCGGTCGTACAATCGGCCGGCTGCGCGGGTTTTCGGCGAGTTTCCCGCGCACCGGCCACGAACTCGACTCGCACAGCAAAAAAATCCGGCGGGTGCTCGCGCGCCGCTCCCACGCTTGACCACACACTCGCTGCACTGCTCAAAGCCAACCCTACCTCACTGGCCGCCTCCAACACTGTCCCGCGCGTCTCGCGCCCCAACTGACAACTCATCACTGTCCCTCGGACACCACTCTCCAGCCGCGCTACCTTCCCCCACCTACCGCTCTCGCACGACATCTCGACAATCCTCATATCTCCATGACTCGCCGTCTTGCCCCTCCTCGGCGGGGGGCGACAGCCCTCCACCAGTCTCGTTGGCCGCGCAGGCCCTCGCGATCTCCGCCTCGGCCACACGCGGGTCGAAACGGAATCGCACTCGCTCGAGCTTGTCCTGCTCGAACGACCCGTCGCCGTCCAGGGCGCTCGGATCCCAGATCAACCTCTCGACGAGGTGATTCACGGTCCACAAGATCCTGCCGCTGACTGGCCACAACGGGTCGCCTCCCTCTGGCCGCTTCCGAGTCGGCCTCGGCGCAAAGCTGCCCTCTACAGCCCGCCCGCTGTTGTACGCCTTCCACGTGTTGCGCTTGAAAGACAACGTGTACTCGCCCGCACGCCCCTCGACCGCGAGCAGCTCCACAACGCCAAGCTGCCACTCGCCGTCCTCGATTGAAGCCTCCTCGCCCCGCGGGTCGTTGAGTCCAAAGGACAGGTAGAGGCATCCGCTCTCCCGCCCCGGGTGCCCCGATGGCGAGTACAGCACTGCTCCAGACAGCACCGGCAGGCAGAGCCCGTTGCAGCCCGCGACGCTCACGTAGCCCGCCGGAGCCGTCCCGGCGAAACCCTGCTCGGTCTGCACTTGCAGCACCCGCGCGCCTGCGCCGCGCGGGAACGATAGGAGTAGGCTGGGGCGTCTCGCCCTCACGCCGACCCATCTACCCATCTGATTTATCTCGAGGTGCCCCCCTCCCTCTGGGTAGAACCCCTCGACGCTGAAATGTTTGAGCATTTGCCACCACTTGGCTGAGGGGAAAAGGATCCTGCTCGCCCGCAAAAGAGCTTGTACATACCGTACGGCCGCGACGGCCCTCGGGCCGAACTTCCGCCCACGCTGGCGTGTCCGGCGCCATCTACTCTGAATCTTGGTGGCAGCGGCTTCACCGTCGGCTGAGTCGACAAAAGAAAACCTGTCACCACTCTGCCCGACAGCGTCGTACTCGCGCCCGCCTGCAGTCTTGTCACCGTTCTCTGCCGCCTCTTCCAGAGATCGAGAGGCGGCACTCGACTCGCCCTTTCGCGCTCGTTGCCATGTGTGCTGGGTCCCGATCGCCGCGGGAGCGCCGCCGGCAAGCCAACCGTGGCAGTCTCCGCCATGGCTGCTCTGCCCGTAGCCGGCGCCCCCCTCGCGCTCGCCGTCAGCCCCATCGGGTTCGTCTCTCGGACCACCCTGCGCGTGAGACGTGCCCGCCGTCTCTCGTTCGCTACGACTGGAGGTTCGCTCGGCCATGTCCCGTCCGGTCTCCATGTGCGGGCCACTGCTCTTCCAACGCCCCTCCTCGGTCTGGATTCTGCTGTCGGCTCCGCACGACTCGTCTTCGGACTCGCTACAGGAGACGAGCGTCGGTACGGGCGATGGCGTCCGTATGCCATCCGCGTCTTCGACCGCGTCTTCGACCGCTCCAGCAGTGATATGCGCCTCCTCGTTGTCTGCGCCGCTCTCTTGTCCAGCGCTGACCTGCCCTGCCTCGCTCTCGGCCCGAATTTTCACGGCTGCATGCGTGCACGTCAGAGCGGCGGGTGCCGTCGAGCGGCTCTCCTCCAGCTTCCTCAGTGCAGCCCCATATCTGTGAGTCTTCCTCCTATTTCTCCCATGCCGCCTGCTTGCCAACCGCCCACGGTGCACTCGACGACCAGGCCTCATGTTGGCGCCGTCAGCAGCCTGTACAGGAACGACGCCACATCGTGACGAATCACTGCTCCCGTCTGCAACCACTCGCCCGCGGTTCGTATAACCGACAGCGTCCTCCTCGATTCCATTTCTGAACCATTCACTGTCCAAAGTAGGCGCACGCCGTCCTGACCGCGTCCGACCATGACTGACCATGCATGCCTGACCATGACTTCGACCGTGCACACCGCACGATGCTGATCCAGGGACAAACTCTGACCAAGACTCATTGGACACCACTGAACGCCCCTCTCTGGCCATGCCCCACTGCGACCGTCTCTCCATCTCTCCTCGCGCTGACATGTCCTCCGCCCGTCCCCGCGCCCTGAGAGCGCTGGCGGGCCGGGCATCATGTATGTCCCACGAGACTGAGATGCAATCTCGGGCGGCGCCGCCGCCGCTATGCGGCGCCGCCCGATGCGGCGACGGAGCTCACTGCTCCGACGCCTCGTTGTCGGCCGTGTTGCCCTCCTGCTTGGTCGGGCAGTCGCGTGCGAGGTGGCCAGACTCGCCGCAGATGAAGCATGTGCGTTTGTCCTTCTTGTTCTTGTCCTTCTCGCCGCCGCCGCGGGCGTTTTTGAGCTCCTTGAGCTCGCGGCGGAGGGCTGCGATCTCGGACTCGTGCCGGGTCGCCTTGGCGGCCGCGCTGGCCGCCTTCTCCTTGGCCTCGCCGGCGTTGGTGTCGCTCCGCTTGGAGACGCGCATCACGATCTGCTGATAGATGCGCACGTCGAAGGTCTCGGGGATGCCGCGGCCGCGGTAGTGGGAGAGCCAGCACGAAAGGTACTCCCACATGACCGCCTTGTCCGCGATCTCGTAGGTCTGACCCGCGTCCGGGTCGGTCTCCGCCGGCTTCTCGCCCGCCTTCTCGTTCCGCGCTCCGTCCGCGGCCGGCTTGTCCTTGCCGTGTGAGTCGGGCATCACATCGCCCCGCCACACCCGCGCAGTTGCCAGCCACGCCGCGGGCAGCGCCTTCTTGTGCGCGTCCTCGAGCGAGCGTTCCCACGTCTCGAGCGTCATGTCCATCACCTCGGTGAAGTCGGTCACCTTGACCTCCTCGGCCAGGTAGTTGGCAAGCGCCCTCCTCAATTCCGGCTTGAGCTTGACTCCGTGCCGCTCAATCTTGAGCAGGTCGTTGAGCTCCTTCCCGCTAAGGCGCTCCTCCTCGTCCGAGTCCGTCAGGCCACCCCCATCGCCATTCTGCGACATCACAAACAAGCCGACGGACAGCGAGAGACTGCAGCGCACGAGCTAGCACAAGCACAGAGGAACGCTCTGCAGCTCTCACGAGGATCTCAAGTTTCGTAATCTCTCGAGTCGTTACAGACTCGGGGGGGGATCTGTCACCCGAGTGGTCAGAATTGGTTCCCCACAATATCAGCTCAATATCGAAGGTTCTCCTTCGCTCCCTCTGATCCTCCTCGCTCCCCTCAAAGCTCGAGGAAGGTTCGCGTTCCCTCTTCGAGATCATCTCTTGCTCCCCCCGCGGTGGGGAGCATGTTCCATAACGTCGTGGGGGGTCGGACCCCCCTTCATTAGCATGCGTTCGGTGCACAATATTCGCTGTATGTCGGCGACCTAAAGCTCGGCGGCCGTCGCTCGCGCCGGCCGACTCCCTGGGGGAGGGGGGAAGCGGTGGATGCGGGGAAGACCGGCCTCGTAAATCTTTTTTGCGGCCCTAAAAGTCGTCGAGCCCCTCCTCAAAAATGACTGGACTCCACTGTCTCATTCACGACGAAAAATATTTCGGTTCAACAGTCTCATAGCCGGGCTAGTATCCCGCGAGCGTGAGGGAGAGCGAGGTCGGGATGAGGACAAGGCCAAAGGTCAAGAGCGCGAAGGCCGCTGTCCGCAGCACCCCTGGCTCGTCGCCGTGCGTGACGTAGTAGAAGAGGCCCGGGAAGACGAAGGTGATGGCGGCAGCGCCCGTCGAGCCGGTGATCGCGACCATTATGCCGAGGTCGGTGACGACCAGTGCGACGACAAACGTGAAGGCGAGCAGCACAAGCATCGTCCGCAGCTCGAGGTCGTCGTTGATGAAGACCGACGGCGGAGTCTTTGGCGGCTCGCCGCCGCCCTGCAGCGTGCGCAGGATGTTGGCGAACGACTTGCGCGTCGCAAAGGTCTGGATGGGGTACGAGGTGATGACGACGATGGCGACGCCAAGGCGGCCGGCCGTGGTGAACGGGTTGACCGGGTAGCTGTTCAGGATGTTTGAGGCGACGTTAGCCCCGAACGACATGTATCCAAAGTAGGACACTGCGATGTAGAGGGGGACGACGATGGCGAGGCCGCCTGGACGGCGGCGCGGCTGGGATGCAGGATGCGAACGGGCTTGGAGGACAGGAGGGCGGGAGGGCGGGAGGGCGGGAGGGCGGGCGGAGCCGTATATCAGTGCCATCAGCCGGCCGGGCGTCGGGTCCTCGAGCTCCGAGAGGATCGGCGGCAGCGACTGCTGGCAGGTGAAGCCGTTTGCAAAGACGACGAACTTGGCAAAGGTCTCCAAGCCGGACGCGCCAAAGCTTGGCTTCTCGCCCACGCAGCTCGCATCTCCGACGGTGCCGCACGGGGAGAGCTCGTCCGATGGCTCAAAGTACACCGCCGCGACGAGGGCGGCGACGGCGACGAGGATCGCGACCTATGCGCGGACTGACGACTGTATGCTGGGGTGCCGACATCCCATCCCCCGAGGAACGTGAGCGGAAAGGCTGGCTTGGCCAAACGGTGACGCACCGCGAGGGCCGAGGTGACCCGAAGGGCGTCCATCGTCTTGAGCAGCGAGAGGGGCGCGGCGATGCCAACCGACACGGCGGTCCAGAGCCGGCGGCTGTCCACGAGGCTGCTGCCGCCAGGCGTGCCAAAGATGCTGAGGAGGTTGTCGGTGGCGACGATCAGGTAGCCGATGGCCGAGCCCAGACAGTTGCAGATGACGGCCAGCTCGACGACGACCGAGAACCTCGGCCGGACCGTGTCGCCCAGCGTGGTGAAGGACTGGCGGTGCGTCCCGAGCTTGAGCTGGGCCCGGCCGAGGCAGAAGAGGGCGAAGCCACCCATGGCGGCGGTGAGGACGAGAATGGCCAGCCCAGGGACCAGGCCGGCCGTGGCCATGCCTGCGGGGAGGGCCAAGATGCCGGTGCCCATCACCTAACAGGCCATCGCAGGGAGCTAGGGCGCCAGAGAGGGCTTTGGAGCCCACCGTAGAAGACCACCGTGTTGGCCAGGTTGACAAGCGACGAGGCCAGTGACGCCTTCTCTTCGGAAGGATCGCCGACGTAACCCGCCTCGCCGTGCGCGGATCCTGCTCCAGACGGGCGCGTGAGGTTGACGAAGGAGGCGCGCGAGGAGAGCACCCTCGCGGCTGGCACTACGGTGTCGGACGTGGCGAGCATCGCCAGCTCGGCCGCATGCGCCAGTTCGGTTTTCGCCGACTCCCTGTTGACCGTCAGGCTAGTCCGCCCGACCCTGGCGGTGAGCGCTCTTGCCCGTTCGCTCTGCTTGTTGGCTGCGTCAGCCTCGCGCTCGGCGCGGTCGATTGCGAGGTGGATCGTGGCGTGGATGGCGGTCGGCGAGGATGTCTGCATCGCGACTCTGTGTGGTAAGTGGCGGGCGCCTGAGCGGTCTGCGCCCTCTTTTGCGCAGCGTTGGAGCCTCGAGCTCGCCGAGGCGGTCGGGCTGGGCCGGCTGTGTGTGGGGTATGTGGGGTATGTGGGGTATGGAGTCGAATCGAGCGCCGGCTTTGAATCTTTTTTCTTCTCCCGGACGGCCCTGAAACATTTGTGTTCAGCGTCCACCCATACCGCGTTGGTGTCCAGTCCGAGCCTGGCTGTTCTTCACCTTTCTACCTACCTACCTACCTGTTATCGTTGTTCTTGACCTCGAAGTGCCGACGCTCGCGCCGAAAATTAAACTCTAGGAACTGCTTGCTGAGTCAAGTGTCTGTTTTTTGACACATCGGATCCTGCTCCGCTGGCAGAGGGCGGCGCTGGTACGAGCGAGCGCCGCCATGGAGGTAGGTTGACGCAGACAGTGGCGAGGGGGCCGCTGCTGCGGGCGGGCGGAAGGCACCGCGTCGCCGCCGAGGGCGGCGCCGTGGCGCCAAGGATCACAAAGGAGAGTTTGAGAATGTGCCCGACACCGAGGCGGCGAACCACGGAACGACGCCCCCCCCTGCCATCTCTGGTGGCTCTGGAGGCTCCGCAGAGGCGGAGCCCCCTGGGGGGCCTCGTCCCACGTATCTTTGCGGCGTAACCATCACCTCGGCTACAACGGCACAGGTCTCCTCTCCTTCTTCCTCTTGGCCGTGCGGGCCCGACTCGGAGCTGCTGCCGTTTGAGCTCACCGAATACGCGCGGCTCTATATAAGCTCCAGGACGAGATGCGCGTGGCGGCACAAGAGGAGGAGGAGGAGGAGGAGGAGGACGAGAGGGCGCTTAGGGAGGAGCGGACACGCGTACTCCGAGGAGAGGCACCGACGATGACGCTGCAGGAGTTTTCGGACCTCGAAAACCGGGTCTTTGCGCGCGCCTCGGCGCGCGCGGCTCAGCCGGCGCTTTCGAGGTTCGAGGAGCTGGGAGACGAGATACGGGTCGAGGGGGCTCGCTTGGGGGCGCTCGAGTTCATGGCGAAGGAGGCTTTTCTAGCGCGGAGCGGACTTAGCGGCCAGGCGTTGGAGGCCGAGGAGATGCGGTTGATGCGGCTGAGGGAGGGGGCGAGCCTGCTCCGCAGGACGCCTGCCACGGCCACGCCCCTCGGGGCGAAGAAGGCGGGCAAGCGTGCAGCGGAGGCGGCGCGCAGGGCGATTGCGCTTGAGAGGGAGGTGTGGGTTGACGGGGAGTGCCGGGGTGGGCGTCGTAAGGGTGAGGGCGATTGCCGCCCTCCCCCCTTCGCCCATCTCGACGCCTTCGTGTAGGCGCCCCCGCGACTGTGCTCTTTTGGTACTGTCGCGTACCTGTGTCGAACCTGTGTGCTGTGAGAGAGAGTTGTTTCGTTGAATTCTCCGAAACACACGTGGACGCGAACACAACCAAGCAAGGCGCGCATGTAATTTGCAGATCGATCATCCGACCACCCCTGCATGCGCGGGCCTTGGCCCGGTGCCGCTGGTCGAGAGCTGGACGGCATTGGGCGCGCCAACCCTTGAGTGGTTTGCTGAACACTAACTGTGCGTGAGGGTGGGTGGGTACTCGGTGAGGTTTGACTGAGGAGTGTCGGTTTGTGGGGTGCATGAGGCGGGTTGCGCGCGCGTGAAGCGCCGCTTTCGCGTTCAGAGGTGCCGTGGTAGGTACCGTGGCGGGATGTGCCGGCAGATCCTCGCGTCTCCGACGACCGGCCAACTATAACAGCCGCGATGCGCTCGGCGGCCCTGCTGGCCGAGCGTGGGCGCGCAGCCGGAAGTGAGGGTCGGGGCGGCCATCTGGATGGATGGCGCGCTGCCCGGCGGGTAGGGGTGTTGGGCGGGGGAGCGCGTCGATTGGGCGGCAGCGCGCACCTACATGGCCTGGCCAGCGTCGCGCACGAGAGCGAAAGCGAGGCCTGGAGAGGCGCTTCAAGCGAGGGTGGCCTCTTCACGGGCCTCGTTTGGCGAGACTGTGTGTAGAGAGAGAGATTGGAGTCCTCCGCCGCCACCGCCGCCCCCTCGCCAGACACGCCGCCGCCCGCCCGCCTCCTCGACCTCCCCAGGGAGCTCCTCGAGCGCGCCCTCTCTCGCTGCGACAGCCCCCTCGATATCGCTCGCGTCGCGGCCGTCTCACTGCTCTTTCACTCGCTCGCGGAGCAGGGCATCCGCTTGTGGGCGCAAGAGCGCGGCTTCGAGCTGCCAGCGCAGCCCGAGGGCGAGAGCTGCGCCGTGCGGTGGGTGTGCTTTTTTGCACTGCTTCGCGAGGCCAACCTGCCGGCGAGGGCGGCGGCAGGCGAAACGCACAGCGTCTTTATCGACGGCGAGGGGCGGCTCTCGTCGTGCGGCTCGGCGGAATACGGGCCAGCCCTCCTCGGGCACGGCGAGGGCGTGACGCGGCTCAACACGCCGACCCGCCTCCCCCTTCTGGGCGGCGAGCGCGCCGTGAGCGTGTCGGCTGGAGCCAGGCACAGCCTCGCCCTGACCGCCGACGGCGCCATCTGGAGCTGGGGCGTTGAAGACTTGGGCAACGGCGACATGCAGAGCCAGCTGCTGCCGAAGAAGATCGAGGCTTTTGCTGACGAGCGCGTCGTCGCTGTGTCGGCTGCAGCCGGCCACGACCTCGCCCTCACCGCCGACGGGGCTGTCTGGAGCTGGGGCGATGGCTACTCTGGCCGGCTGGGCCACGGCGACATTCAGGACCAGCTGCTGCCCAAGAAGGTCGAGGCCTTGGGGGGGCACCGCGTCGTTGCTGTGTCGGCTGGAGGCTGTCACAGCTTCGCCCTCACCGCCGACGGCGCCGTTTGGAGCTGGGGCGGTGGAGGCTTTGGCAAGTTGGGCCACGGCGACTACCAGAACCAACTGCTGCCCAAGCAGGTCGAGGCCTTTGCTGGCCAGCGCGTCGTCGCGGTGTCGGCTGGAGTCTACCACAGCCTCGCCATCACCGCCGACGGCGCCGTCTGGAGCTGGGGCCAAGGAGGCAGTCGCTTGGGCCACGGCAAACTGCAGAACCAGCAGCTGCCGAAGAAGGTCGAGGCCTTTACTGGGCGGAGTGTCGTCGCCGTGTCGGCTGCAGCCGCGCACAACCTCGCCCTCACCGCCGATGGCGCCGTCTGGAGCTGGGGCTGGGGAGCCTATGGCAAGTTGGGCCACGGCGACCAGCAGCACCAGCAGCTGCCCAAGAAGATCGAGGCCTTTGCTGGCCAGCGCGTCGTCGCTGTGTCGGCTGGAGAGCGCCACAGCCTCGCCCTCACCTCCGACGGCGCCGTGTTTACCTGGGGCAAGGGCGAGACCGGCTGTCTAGGCCACGGAGAGGACCTGTCGAACCAGCTGCTGCCCAAGAAGGTAGAGGTGTGGGCGCGCGGTGTCTGAGCACCAGGGACCCCATGTCTCCAGTGTCGCGACTCGCGTGAGCCGTGAGGGTGCGAGGTGGGTGCGAGGCGCTTGCCCCAGCTACCAAAGGGCTTTGTGTGTGTGGAGAAGTTTGCCTAAGCTTACCTTACCTAAACTCAGCCCCCACACCTCGACAACGTACTTGACTCTCTCACAACTGGTTTTGCCTGTGTTCTAGCCGAGCCGTAGTGCGTTCGAGCGTATGTTGGTCGATAAGCAGGGGACCTGAGACGTGTATCGCGCGCCTTGCCGGGGGGGAGAGGAACGAAGTGTTCCAAAGCCAGAGAGAGAGACAGAGAGAGAGCGAGAGCTGTTCACAGGAAAACGTGGTGCGCCCGTCGACCTCGAGCCTCCGATGTGATTCGCCGGCCGGGAGCTGCGGCGCCGTTGCCGTTTCCGCTGTCGGAGGGAAGCCGGTCCGAGACTCGGCGCCGACCAAGTATCAGCCTGATGAGAAGTTTGCGGTCGTTTCACTCTCGCGTAATCCCCCCCTGACCTACCTGCCGGCTGAAACCTGCCGGCATGTCCTCGCCCTCCCCCCCGCCGTTGATGCTCGCCGGCCTGGGAGACGCGCAAGCCCTCGACGCCTTTTACCTGCTCGTGTGCGGCGTCTTCGTTTTCTTCATGCAGGAGTGCCACACACCACCACACGACCACTGCGCAGACGCGCACAGGCCTGCGTAGGCGACACTGGGAGGCTCAAGGTGTGGGGTGGGTGTTTGGCCGTCTCTGCCCCACCCTCCTCCCGCGCTCATCTCGTCCGCCTCGGCTGCTCGCATCTAATCTTCCCTCCCCCCGGCTGCAGTGCGGCTTCGCGCTCCTCGAGGCGGGCACCGTCCGATCCAAGAACACCAAGAACATCCTGCTCAAAAACCTGCTCGACGCCTGCATCGGCACGCCTGGACGCCCCCCGCCCCCACCTCGGCAAAGCGCCCTCGGCTCCCAGCATCATCTCCCAACGCCTCCCCAATCCTCGCGGCGCAAACGCCGCCGCCTCGCTCGGCCCAGGCGCCATCATCTGGTGGGGATGGGGCATGGGAGTCGCGTACGGCGACAGCGGTGCGGCAGCTGGCAACTCCTTTATTGGCACCGCCTCGACGGGCCCCGGAGCCTTCCTGGCCGTCGGCTGGGGCGGGTGTGTTGCGTGCAAGATGCACACGCTCCATCCACTCCCCACCCCCATTGCTGTCGCTTTGCCCTTCACCGCCACAGGTCGGGATTCACCGGCTACAACGGGTACACGATGTCCCTGTGGTTCTTCCAGTACGTCTTCGCTGCCGCCGCTGCCACCATCGTCTCCGGCGCCGTCGCCGAGCGTGCACAACTCGGTGCGTACCTCTGCTACACGATCGTCATCACCGGCTTCATCTACCCCGTCGTTGTGCACTGGGTTTGGTGCAACAACGGCTTTCTATCGGGCGCCTTCACCGCCGACAAGAGCATGACCTTTTACGGGGGCTGCCTCGACTTTGCCGGCTCGGGCGTGGTCCACATGACGGGTGGCGTCGCGGCGCTCTGCGGCGCCATTGTTATCCAGCCGCGCCTCGGTCGCTTCGATGAGAGAGGCAAGCCGGTGCCTATGCCGGGCCAGTCCACCCCCTTCCAGGTCCTCGGCACCTTCATCCTCTGGATGGGCTGGTACGGCTTCAACCCGGTGCCGCGCCGCCGCCGCCTGCACCCCGGCCTCGCGCCTCATCCGCCATCCCTCACCGCTCCGCCTCCGCCCTCTGCTGGTTGTGATGACCCTCCGCGCTTTTGCCTTCTCCAGGGCTCAACCCTCGGCATCACGCCCGCCGGGTATGGCACCATCATGGCCCGAGCTGCGATGTGCACCACCCTCTCCGCCGGCGTCGGCGGCGTCACGGTCGTCTTCTTCGACCGGATCTTCTCAAAGCAATACGACGTGGGCATGGTCTGCAACGGCATCCTCGCCGGCCTCGTCTCCATCACCGCCGGCTGCGCCTGCATGCTGCCGTACGCCGCGTTCCTGACTGGTTTCATCGGCGCTTTTGTCTACTATGGCGCGCCGGCACGAGAGTTAGAACAGCCGAGAGATAGATGGGGGAGGACAGCCAGTTAGGGCAGCGAGAGGTGGCGTGAGGGAGGGAAGTTGCAAAGCGGGCCGAAAAGGGCAGAGGGAAGGGGTGGGAAGGCACGCTGCTCCAACCCACCACCACGACCGCCCTAGGCGCGAGCAAGCTCCTCCTCAAGCTCAAGATCGACGACCCGCTCGACGCCTTTGCGGTGCACGGCGCCTGCGGCTTCTGGGGCGTCTTTGCCGTCGGTCTCTTCGGCCATCCTGACTATGTCGGCTTCGGCTGGGACGGCAACAACGGAGACGTCGCTGGCACGGATTACGCGGGGCTGTTCTACGGCGGCAGCACGCTGCTCGGCGCCCAGTTTGTGGCGCTCATCATCGAGGCACCCAACCCCGACCCCCACCCCACCCACAGGGCCGCCACTCCACTTACACGGCCCCTCTCTCCCTCGCCCCTTGCCTTTGTTGTGCCTTGTGTGCCTAACAGCGCTGTGCGATTGCTACCAGGTGGGATGGGTCGCCTTTTGGTCGCTCCTCATGTTCTTCGGGCTCAAATTTGCTGGCATGCTCCGCGTCTCGGAGGAAATCGAGATGGCGGGCATGGACGTGTCCAAGCACGGCGGTTCCGCATATGCTGGAAGCGAGGGCAAAGCGTAAGAGTTTGTGGCCGCGGCCTTGTACATTTGGACTATTAGCCTGGTCGGCTGGTGTGCAGTCCATCCGGTCCGAGATGGGAGGACGCGCCTGAGATTCATAGTTGGACGAGTGCCGAGTGGCGCGGCTCGTCCCTCCAAGCCACAAGCGTTGCGTAGCGATTGCTTAGACTCGGACTCGCGCAGCATGTTGATGACGTCCCTGACTTTTCATGATTAAAGGCGGAACGTTACCATGTCGTGTGACTGTGCTTGTGAGTTGTGTATTGGACATAAGGGTGGTCACTCCGAGTGGCAGTTGTCAGATCAGATATACACAGATTCGCGTTCTGGTTCACGGTTCATATTTTTGGGATTTGGCGCCGATGCGGCGTCATGCACACGCGCACACCGCCACCGGTCGGAAGTTAACGCCGCGGGGTGCGGACATTGCTCTCTTTGCTGAGTTCGGGGTTTTCGTTTTGGGAAATTTTGCTTGCCGCTAGAGGCCAAGCGAGTGATAAGCGTACGTCAGTACCCGGCGTATACTCTACTCTCTCTAGTCTCTATACGGACTACACGGACTACGCTCACGTGGGAAATATCCAACGCCAAGCTCTCAGCCGCCACGTCTGAAGTGTTAGCGCGACACACCCAAAGTCTCCGATCATAATCGCAAAACGTTATATCTGGGAGTGTGATTACGCTCACTCGCCCCCCGCCACGGTCGCCTCAAACACGCGGATCGCCCGGTCGTCGCCCACTGAGCAGAAGCGGCCGCCGCTCGGGTCGAAGGCGACGCCCCACGCCTGGTCCGAGTGGCTGTCCGCAAGGGTCTGCACCGAGGCGCCCGTCGTCAGGTCCCAGTTGCGCACGGTCTGGTCAGAGGAGCAGGTGACCACGTGCGAGCCGTCGGCGGAGAAGGCGGCGCCGAGCACCCACGAGCCTGCGTTGCGAGGCCATCACCGCGTGGAGACGAGGGGCTACGAGTACAATGGAACACAGCGGAGTGCATCGGAGTGCAGCGGGAGACCGCGGGATGCAGCGGAATACGCGTCCTCTCGAGGTAGGTTGAAGACAAGGGTCTGTCGTCCGCGTCTAGGCCCACGAGCCGTGCCCCTGTAGCGTATAGAGCTGCCGTCCCGACGCGGCCTCCCACAGCACCGCGCGCGAGTCCTCCGAGCCGGAGAGCACCTGAGGGCAAGGTGTGTGTGTGTGTGTGTGTGTGTGTGTGTGTGTGTGTGTGTGTGTGTGTGTGGGCGGGCGGGCGGGGCGGGCGGGCGGAGGGCGGCGGCGCGCGAGGTGGGCGGAGGGCGTCGGCGGGAGCAGAGGGTGTCGGAGGGGAGCGGAGAGTTGTCGCGTGTCGGGGTCTGCGTGTCAGGGTTAGCTTGAGGGGTCTGCGTGTCAGGGTTAGTGTGTCGGGGTTTGTGTGTAGGGTTAGCGTGTCCGTGTTAGGGCTAGCGTGTCTGTGCTTGGGTGAGCGTGCTAGTAGGGGCGCCGTCTTGCCGTCGCGCGAAAAGGCGACGCATCGCACCGCCACCGCGTGCGCCTCCATCTTTGCGACGCGCTGGTACGGCGCCTGCGGTGCGGCGTGGGCGGCGGCGTGGGCGGAGGGGTGAGCCGAGGCGTGAGCGGAGGCGTAGGCGGAGGCCGTGGGCGGAGGCGGAGGCTGTGGGCGGAGGCGGAGGCTGTGGGCGGAGGCGGAGGCTATGGGCGGAGGCGGAGGCTGTGGGCGGAGGCAGAGGCTGTGGGCGGAGGCCGTGCGGCAGAGGCGGTCTGGTCTGCCGTTGGCAGAGCAGACGCGTGTGGCTTTGGAGGCGAGCGCGGAGCCGAGTGGCGGGGGAGGCGGTGTGGAGGGCCGGCGCGGCGGGGCGGCGTGTCTCTCTGGAGGCGTGCGCGCAGCCGATCGGCGGCGCGCCTCCATCTCGAAGACATGCACGCCGCCGTCCTCTGCGCCGGCGGCGAGCAGCGCTCCGTCCGCAGAGATAGCGGCGCAGAGAACGATGCGGTCGCTGCCGATCGAGAGCGAGGCGGTCTTGCTGCCCGAGGCGGCGTCCCACAGGCTGATGCCGCCCATCGAGCCGGCGGCGACGGTCGCGCCGTCCGGGCTTAGCGCGACGCCGTACGACATAGGCCCGCAGTCAATCTCGAGATTGAGGCTGCCCGTGTCGAGGTTCCAAACGCGGATGCGCGAGTCGAGCGCGGCCGACGCGGCGACGGCCACGTCCGCCGCGACCGCGACGGCGGTGACGCCGAGCTCGTGGCCCGTCAGAGTGTGCCGCCGCTCAATTTTCGCCCCGCTTACTTCATAGGAGTGGACGGCCTCGTCGGCGGAGCCGGTGACGACCAGGCCGTGGCCCCACGCGACGCAGGAGATGCCGCCCTCGTGTGCGTTGAGCTGCGAGGCGGTGGGGTGGTAGAGGGTGGCCATGTGTGTTCCGACGGCAACGATGGCCCAAAAGAATTTTACAACAAAACTCCCTCGCACGACACTGGGCACAGGACTGGGCACGGGACTGGCTCGCACTGGCACTAACACAGGTACACCACAAAAGAAACAGGTCCCAGTCGATTTCGCAACAGCTTCGTTTTCACAGCCTTGTTATTGAGAAGAAAATACCTCCTATGGCGCTGTGCGCTGGCCTGTGAGAGGTTGAGGTGCGAGCCCTGGAGGCCCTGGGGATGGGGGGGGACTACCCGCGGGCTTAGAAGGCCCGCGCGCAGGGGGGTGGGGCATTGAGACCGGTCATGAATGAGTGCGCGACACGCATGTTGCGAGCAGCGTTGTTGATGTTTTGCGCATCGCCACTGACGGCGGCGCGCGAGAGCTGTTGCGAGTGGTGTTGGGCGAAGCCCCGGGCGCTGCCGGAGGCTGTGCCGTAGTCGGTGCGGTCGACGGCGCTCGGGCTGCCGACCTCTTTGGCGAAGTTGAAGATGATTCTCTTGCTTGGCGGCGCGATGCCGCCCTGGCTTTCGACGAGACAAATTTTGACGATTCCGTTCTTGACACGGAGCGCGTCGTAGTACTGTCCCTTGTGCTCTTTGACCCAGCCTTTGCCGGTCGCATGGACGAGCGGGCCCTGTGACTTGTGGCCGCGCTCTTTGCACCCAAGAACCTTGAGCAAGGTTTGGTCGAGGGTGTTGCCGAAGCCAAACTTGTGGCCCAGTGACATTCACAACACGGCCGCCTCGAGACGCCGCGCCGTCGTGCAATTCGTGCCCGAGCCGTCCACAAGGCCGCCGGCACATTTGCCAATGTGCCCGGAGCGCAGGGAGTCGATGGGTGCCGCAGTGCGAGCGAGCACTGCAGCTGCAGTGCTCGCTCGCACTGCGGCGCTGCGCCACGGCGGCGAAGCATGTCTGGACTTCAAGGACAGCGCTTCTCCGCTGCTCGAGGCTTGCGGCACGGTCCAGGCCGACCACACGGAGCACCCGAGGTAGCTGGCGTGGCCTCACTCATGACCTGTGCTACCCGTCGGCGGGGCCAGCTGCGGTTTCACAACGCGCCTCATTTTTGGCACCCTCCTGCTAGCCGCGCATGAGTAGGGAGACCGTGTGTGGTGTCTTCGCGGCCTAGAGCACCCTCTTGGCAGTCTATATTCCGGATTTTAGCCCTCCTGTCGCATCTGGTGAGCCGTACCATAGCGAGGACCAAACGTGTTGTGAAACCAAAGCCCGCACCTGTAGTCCCTGTGGGGAAATCGCGCCGACAGAACGGGTCCTGTGGGCGACGGCTAGCGCACCACACCCCTCTCCTTTAAAATCCCTGTGTGGTGGCGGCGTGCCGTCCTCCCATCCCTCCCTTGGGTTGAGCGCCGCGGAGAAGGCGAGCATCACCCAACGAACGGACCGGCCGAATGGGAGTCACGCCAAAAAGAAAATACGCGCCGGTGATCTCTCGAGCGGATCTCGGAGCTCCTGGTTGTTACCAATTTTGTTCACAGATTGTTTGTTATTGAGAAAGAAGAAAATACCACCGCGAGGAGCAGGCGCCATCGCGAGCAAACCTTTTTTTTGTTTTCATCATTTTTTCGTTGCTTTCCAAAATCCTGCTCGTGCGGTGGGGACCCTCTGGTCCTCCCATCCCTCGTTTTGAGCTGTCTGTTTTCTTGCTTTATCATTTGTGGTGGCTAAGAACACTCCAAGTGCTCCATCCAAGTAAATAAATAAATAAAACGGACACCTCTACTAGGAGATGGGTAAAAAGGAACAGGTCCCCGCCCTGCGGTCTTTGTGCAGGGTTCTTTGTGGGTGTGGTCGGCGACTAGCCGGGGTCGTCCTCCCGATGGGGGACTAGCACTAGCCGTCTTCCACATGGTCCCTCGGGTCCCTGCTGCTCCTAATCTCTTCGTACATCCTCCTGCTGATCTCCGCAACGTCCTGCTCCCTCCCTCGTCTCGCCCTGCGCGACTGCTCCGCCTCACCGTCGTCCGCCCTGCGTCGTCTGGTGACGGGTCCTCCATAGTCGGTTGAGGTCGCCGCCCTCCTCGTGCCTCTTCCCAACGTTCCCTCGGCGGTCGATGCCGTCTGGTCCGCCTCCGCCGTCCCCGGGTCTGCCCTGCCCTCGTCTGCACTAGCTTCTGTTTCGTCATCACTGGCGCCTCTCCTCTTCTTTCTCCTCTTCTTGTATGCTTTGTACATCGCGTCGATTCCTTTTCGCGTGAGCACCATCCTGAAGCTCGCCCAGCAGCGGAACCGCTCCCGAAGTCGAAGGAGCATCATCAGTCTCACCCACTTCGCTCTCTGCCCACCGTCTCCGCTCCCTCCCGCTTGAGCCGCCGTCGCGGCCCTCGTTCGTCCCACTGGCTGTTGGCCTGTCTGCACGTTGCCTCCGTTATCCCTCCTCCGCCGCGACTCCCTCAAGGCCGGGCGGGCCTCCTTCCACCCAGCGAAGAGCTTCCTCAGCCACTCGATGTGTTCCTCTCTCTTCATTATGCGCGCCGTTGCTTCATCATTGAGCTGTATCCACCTCTGCACCGCTCCCGTCGCCGCCTCGGCCACGACTTGCAAGTTCCTCGTGACCCCGGTGCCAAGGTCCCTTCGGCTCTTCTCCGAGAGGTCATCTACCAGTGCTGGCAACACCCCCCCGACTGCGGGGGCCAGTGTATCGTACCCGTCCTCGTCCAGCACCCTGTAGCGTGAGCCCTTCAGCGCAGCGACATGCGCCATCCTCAGCGTCTTCAGCGTCTCCTTGGAGTCGGGTGCCGCCTGTGCCACTTTGCTGATCGCCGTCCCTGTCTGCGCTCGCGCTACTCTGAGGAACCATCTGGCCTGCTCCCTATTCCCCAGGCAGGCGCCGCTAAGCACGTGCGCCATTGTCGCTCTAGGCGGGTTCTCATCTTCCTCGGTCCATTGCTGCGCGGCTTTCCGCACGATCGGACACAGCGGGTCCCGCTTTAGTGCTGCCCTCCTCGCCGCGTCCCTCGCGGCCTTACAGACGAGGCAGCCCCTGAGTTCGCTCCTTGTGGCGGCGCCCGGGGTCTCCCTCCCCGCCTCGCCCCGCATGATCCTCTCGTGGTGCGTTCCGTGTGGCACCCCCGCCTGCTGCCGCACCCGCGCTCCCATGACGGTCTTTGTCACCACGTTATGATCATCCACGTCGGCGAATTCAATCTCGCGCTCGCCGTGCTGATCCTTGATCCGCTGGCGCTTGTCCCATTTGTGTCTCGTCGTTCCCCTGACCACATCGCTCCACAGCGGCCCCGTCACCCCTGCCGTGTGCGACCCCGCCGTGAGCCCCTCGCCGAGCCGTCCTCGCACCCACTCGTTCGTGTGGCCGCGTGTGGCATAATAGGTCCTCCGGTCCAGTACCTCCCGCCCCCCCTCTCTGTCTGCCGTCCTCCGGCGGTCCGTGTACACACACGGGCGCGTTCTCACCATCCAAGTACGACTGTTTCCTTCTTTTCTTTTTCCAAGTGCGGCCCTCCCTCCATCTCCCGAGGTCTCGAAAATCATTCGAACGCGGGCCTGCGGGCGTGTTCGGATGCACTTCGACGCGCGCGGCGCCGTGTCGAACCTCCGGATCGTGCCTCAGGCTCAGCGCTCAGGCTGCCGAGATGCGAGAAGAGCTCCTTTTCTCCGTCTCCCAGTAAGCTGAACCCACTGAGTAACGGCACAGGCACGTACTGGACTGACCCATGGAACGCGACGAACGCCACTAACGCGACCTGGGACGTTGGCTCACATGCTAGATGTAAGATATGCTTCCCCACTCCCCAGCTCCTCAGTGTTGGCGCTCTTTGCGCCCCGGCCCCGCAGGGCTACGGCGGCAAGCGCGGCCCTCTGCGCCGCTCCATCTGCCGTTGACGTCGCGCAGTTCTCTCACTGCGCGCCGCTCCATCTGCCGTTGTTGACGTCGCGCTTTTCTCTCACTGCGGGCGAGCGGGGCCATCGAATTCCCATCGCACCACCCGCTCCACGCCTCGCGCGCCCTCGAAGTACTTGACCACGGCACCGCTGGCACTCACCGCGCGCACCTTCCGCTCCGCGCCTCGCTCGCCCTCGTGGTGCTCCACGGTGCCGTCGGCCAGCTCCACGCGCAGCAGCCGCTCCACACCTGGCTCGCCCTCGTAGTGAAGCACGTTGCCGTCGGCAAACTCGTAGCGCACCTTCCGCTCCGCACCTCGCTCGCCCTCGTAGTGAAACACCGTGCCGTCGGCAAACTCGGTGCGCACCTGCCGCTCCGCGCCTTGCTCGCCCTCGTAGTGAAACACCATGTCGTCGAAACACTGGCGCACCCTCCGCTCCGCACCTCGCTCGCCCTCGTAGTGAAACACCGTGCCGTTGGCAAACTCGGTGCGCACCTGCCGCTCCGCGCCTTGCTCGCCCTCGTAGTGAAACACCATGTCGTCGAAACACTGGCGCACCCTCCGCTCTGCACCTCGCTCGCCCTCGTAGTGAAACACCGTGCCGTCGACACACTCGCGCACCAGCCGCTCCGCGCCTCGCTCGCCCTCGTAGTGACGCACCATGCCGCGACCCTGCAGGAAACGCATCCGCAGCTTCGCGCCAACCTCTTCGCCGCGCCGCAGCCTCCAGTCCTCGGCGCGGAGCTCGCCAGCGCCCTCCAATTCTGACGAGAGGCAGAGCGCCGGGCTCACGCTCGCAAGCCATGGGAAGTGGTCGGCGCTGGCTCGGCAGTCGCCGGCGTATTTGCGGAGGGTGACCTCGCTGAGCGTCACCGACACAGTGCCGAAAGTACCGGCAGCAGCGCAGCGCTGGATGAGCAGGAGCTTCATCGCAATGGCGAAGCGTAGGTCCACAAACCGCGCGAGCCCACGGCGATGGGCGAGGAGGCCGAGGCGCGGCGTCGCGAGGCTGAAGGCGGCGCAATCGGAGAAGTCGTCGACGCTCTCGAGGACACGCAGCAGCAGCTCATGCGGCAGCTCTGCCAGCCAGTCCGTGGGCGGAGCGTCGCCGGCGGTTCGCGCGCGCGAGGGCATATGAATGCTGCCGAGCCGCTCTCGAGCGCGCCAAGCGAAGAGAGCGATAGCAAGAATTCACTCGGTGTAAAGCACGCTGGCGTGGACTGCGCAAATCCCTGTGTGGTGGCGGCGTGCCGTCCTCCCATCCCTCCCTTGGGTTGTCTGTTTTCTTTCTTTCTTTCTGGACTGCGCAGACGTGTTGCGGGGCGGTGGACTTCATGGCACCATGGAGGGTGGTGCGCTGGCAGCCCGACTCCCTGTCGTTCCTACCTTTGTCAGACGGGGCCGTGGGGGGCGGGGAGGAGGCGAAAGATGCGGCAGCAACGCTGCAAGTGCTACACGGGCTCGCGGGAGAGGCCCCAGAGGAGGCCGTCCCCGACGGAGCGGTTCCGGCCGCCCTCCCCCGATTCCTGCGACTAGTGGGAATGGCGGAGGCAGAGATGGCGGGGGCGCTGCTCGGGATGGAGGGAGGCGCCCTGAGGATGGTGCGCTCGGGTGGCCAAGCAGCGGGCGATACAGGTGACACGCCACTGGCAAGCGGTGGGGATCCCTCTCGAGTCGCTCGGGACGGAGCGCTTCCCTGCGCTAGCCGCCTGTCATGGGTGCGGCGGCAAATTTCGCGCACTGTTCCACGTGAAGCCGGAAGACGGACCGGCGGCTACGAAGGTGGCTGAGGAGGTGTCAGCGCCATCCTGGAACGGATTTCTGAACGGGTGGAAGGGGAAGCGGAGGAGGGGATGAGGACGCGCCTGTGCCAGGCCATGCAGGGGCAGGGGGTGTTTGTGTGCTTTTGTTGTGCAGCCCCCGTGGTCCGTGAGAAGAGGAGACAAGGATACGGGGGGGCGGCGAGGGGGGGGCAGCCGTCGCAACAGGCGAGCGCACCCCAAGCCGGGGCGGCGCCGGTGGATCGGCCGGCCCCGACGCGGATCTTACCAGGAAGGACACGAGGCAGCCCGATGAGGTTCGTGCCGGCGGCAGACAGAGCAAGCAAACGGGAGGAGGCAACTCGAGAGGCCGAGATGGATCGGGCGGCCGCGGCGGCGGGCGAGAAGGCGGTCCTGGCGGAGCTTAGGGCGATAGGTCTGTCGCTCGCGGCCAGCACCGGCGTTCTCAGGCCGGTGCAGCCGCGGGAAGTGCGGAGTCTGGCAAGACGACTGGTTGGCTCGACGGACCTTCTTGGGCAGGTTTTCCGATGGGAGGGGGAGGACTACCTCGTCAACGATATCGCACCGGGACCGACACAGTCGGGGGAGCAGGCGCTGAAGGCGTACGCCTGCTGTGTGAAGAGGCGGGTGGCATCGGCGGGCCCGCTATCCGAACACAACTCGGCCTTTGATATCCGGTCAGTGAGGGACCGAATCGAGAGGGACCGGGCAAAGGGGGAGGCGACGCGACTACTGCGCAGTCTGCGGCCCGATGCGGAGCGGGGGGGGAGAGAGGCGGGGCCGTCGGCGAATCCGGGCCCTGCCCCCCCCCCCCTTCCCGAGGGGAGGCGAGAGCTAGGCCCCCCCCCACGAGCGGGGTGGACGGCCGACGCGTGGAACCACGGCTGGAACGGCCGCAGGGGCAGGGGGCATCCCCCGAGGCCTCCGTTTTCTTTCTTTCTTTAGAACGGGTCCCATCCCTCCCTTGGGTTGTCCGTTTTCTTTCTTTCTTTTTGTTGCTGTCAAGGCGAGTCTGCCCGTCGGGTTGCTGCCCTAATCCCACCAGGGATTGACTGGTCTCTTTATTTAATTTATGCAGAAAATCTTATATACCTGTTGCTGTCAATAACACTCCTACATGCATGTAGGAAGCCTCGATGTAAGTGGGGCGGGTTTGCTGCTGCGGGGTCCCCCGCTGTCGCCCGGGGTCATGCGAGGGGTGGGCACGACCAGAGGGACGCCCTCCCCCGGGCCCCGCTCTCAGTTGGGGCCTCCGCGGCCGAGTGGGAGATATTGGATGGGAAACGGGTCGATTTGCAAAGTGGGGCGCCGGCCCCGCCCGGGCCCGCCCCACTTACGTCCGGGGCCCCAGTTATATCCGGCGGCTTCCTATTCACTAACCCCAAAACAACAAAGTGCTAGAGTTGTTTCATGGTATTGATAAAAATCTCTCTCTAACCCCTAAAGGCTAAAGACTTTGCGGCAAAGAGAAATTCCGCCGTAGACCGTATCTGAGTCGTTCTTCACACCGCCATCGCAGAGCAGATTGTGAAGGAACGATAAGGTTTTTGCTCGCCTTCCCTGGGACCCCGTGTTGCGTGACTGTCTCTGAACTCTGTGCGATTTCGGGCCGGGGGTTGTTCGTTTATGTGAACACCCCCCTGCGCGCGGGCCTTCTAGGCCCGCGGGTAGTCTCCCCCCATCCCCAGGGCCTCCAGGGCTCGCACCTCAACCTCTCACAGACCAGCGCACAGCGCCATAGGAGGTATTTTCTTCTCAATAACAAGGCTGTGAATGAAGGAGCTTGCCCTGGGTTCCGGCTCCTAGCCAGATAGGGGGTCTGTTTACCACGGTGACACCCTATGGCTATGCAATAGGTAGGTAGGTCCGGTTTTGACCGCCCCAGAGGGCCCTGCAACAGGTAGGTACCCCCTATTTTCGTCTTTTTTCGCTTCGCTGCGCGGCCTGGGCGTGCAAGCCCCGCAGAGGTGCGGGCGAGAGGGCGGCCCGAGCCCGAAAGGGCCCGCCCTCGACCTTGCTCTACATGGTAACGGATAAGAAGAAAAACACCCCCGGACCGGGACGCCGGCGGTCGAGTCGGGACACGCTGTGGTTCAGACGTCCCCCCCCTCGACGCAGTCGAGTGACTGACATGAATAGGGAGGAGAACGTGCCCCCCACATATCACCACAGACGCAGCACAGGGGCTCCAATCCTGTCCGCCGGGGCCTCGGCTAGATCTCCAGTGGGGAGTGCGAGGGCTGGATCGACTGCAGCGAGAGTGTGGGTTGTGGACCGTCGGGATAGCGTGTGGCGTAGATGTTCTCCTGGAAGTAGAGAGGCTGATGTCTCTCGCCCTGCAGGAAGGAGAAACTCGGACGGCAGAGTGAAAACTCCTCCCTGCGGCATGTGCGCAGAACGGGTTGCGCAATGTGCGGCATCGTGTTGTATGAGGGCTCGGGAGGGCAACGACGGCAGCGTTGCCGAGCTTGTACAGGGGCCTCAATCCTGTCCCCGATGGGGTGCGCCTCTCGCCGCGCGCGTAGCAGTCGGCGCGCGGGTAGCCTCAGAGATGCGCAGAGCGAGATGCGGTTATCAGCAAACCAAGCCCTGGGCTTGGATGGGCGCGGCGAAGCCGCGGCGCAGTGGATAGCGTGAAGAACTCGAGATCGCTGGGATCTTGAGCCGCCGCTGCCACGTGCAAGCCCCGCGGTGCGGGCGAGAGGGCGGCCCGAGCCCGAAAGGGCCCGCCCTCGACCTTGCTCTATGGTAACGGATAAGAAGAAAAACACCCGGACCGGGACGCCGGCGGTCGAGTCGGGACACGCTGTGGTTCAGACGCTGGGGGTAGGTAGGTAGGTAGGGCGTTTTGGCTCGAGTCACGCAGACCCCCTATCTGGCTAGGAGCCGGAACCCTGGGGGCGAGGGCGTGGTGGAGTGCACTGAGCTAAGTGCCTCGCCGTCCTCGCAGGAGTCGCTTAGGCGGCTCCCGTGGTGTACCTGTATTGTGCCAGTGCGCGCCAGCCCCGTGCCTAGTGTCGTATGCTCGCCGCCGCCGCCGCCGCCGCCGCGTTGGTCTTCCCTCTGCCGGCGCATCACCGCATGTGCGAACCGGCCCGCCGCGTGCGAACCGGCCCGCCAACAATGGCTGGCGTCGACGAGGAGGCGCCGATGAGCAAGGCCGAGATCGACGCCTGGCTGGCGGCGCAGACGGGCGCCATTGACGGCCGGGCGCAGGAGCTGCTCGACGGCGCTGGCGTGACCGCGCCACCGCCGTTGCCGGTGGCGGGAGAAATGGAGTGGGGCCGCTGGTCGCAGCGCGGCGCGGCGCTGAGCTTCGAGCTGCGTGTGCCGGAGGCGACGCGTGCGGCCGACGTGCGTTGCGAGTGCCTCGTCGGCTTCCTCGACGTGCGCGTGAGAGACGAGCCTCTCCTGTCGGGCCGGCTGGCGGCGGCCGAGGCTCGCCAAGACGCCGCAGAGTGGCTGAGGGCGGATCAGAACTCGACCTTTGGCCCTTAGGAGGTGCGGCCGACCGAGCTCGAGTGGCTGCTCGACACGACGGCGGAGGGCGAGAGGTGGTCGCCCTAGATGTTGCGCTCCGTGTCGCCCCGCCACGTGGGACGCCGATCGAGACTGCCGCCGCATATCACGCTCTGCTCCACCGGTCTCTCCTCCCGTCGCCGTGCAGGTTGCTGTGCGTCGAGCTGCCGAGGCGCGCGCCGCCGCCGGAGCAGGGCCGGCCGCCGCCGACGCCCATCTTTCGGTCGCTCCGCGTCGCCGGCGAGGAGGTCGCTGAACCGGGCCTCGTTGAGGAAGCGGCTGCGCGCCAGTCCCGTGCCTAGTGTAACAAAAAGTAATATATCTTTACTTCCAAAACCCGGACGTGCCTCTGTGCCTAGTGTAACAGAAAGAAAGAAAACAGACAAATGCGGGAATTCTTTTTTCGAGAAGGGCGACTACCGGTTCGCGCGGGAGAAGAATTGCGACCTGCGTTTGCTCGACCGCTTCGAGACGTTCCCGGCGGCTTCGGGGACGGCGTCCGCAAAATTCTTCGGCAGGCGGCGGACCAGCTGAGTAACAAACTTTCGCACGCTCAGCACCTCGATGAGGTCACATGGACCACCAAGAACTGGCACGGGCTGCAGATGCAGCGCTTGTCTGTCGTTCTCCACACCGCCGTGGCGTGGCAGACGGTGAACGAGCTAGCGTGCGGGGGACAGCGGCATTGTGCACGGTGCTAAGTGCATTGCCGTTCTTAACGGAGTCGCTTAGGCGGCTCCGGTGGTGTGCCGGTGATAGTACTAGCACGCGCCAGTTCGCACCTGTGTCGAGCCTGTGTGCTGTGAGAGAGAGTTCTTTTGTTTAAATTCTTTTCGGTCTTGTTTTTAAAACCCTGCTTCTATCTCTCTATGTTATTTTTTTGCACAACACGGCGCAGTCCCGTGCCCCGTGTTGAGAGAGAGAGATTTTTATTAACCAACATCGGCGCGGGCTCTCTCGGCTACGGGACCGGCCCCAGCTTCGGCTGAGGGCTAACAAGCTGCCGAGCCCAAATCACTGTGAGAGTCGTGATTTCTCCGTGTTGTGCGAGGGAGCTTGGTTGTAAAATTCTTTTTCTTTTCGGTTCTTGTTTTTAAAACCCCGCTCCTCGCTCCATATGTTGTTTCGCAACTCTTTTCTTTTTTCGGCGGCCTGCTCCGCAAAACATGCAAAGAGCACCTGTGCAGCGCAGCTCCTCGCCCTCCCTGCTGGAGGAGCGCAACCAGCAGCTCGAGACGAATCTGCGCTTCGTCGTCCAGCAGCTGAGCCAGCGCGCCGAGGATGCGGTGATGGAGCGGCTGGACGCGCTGCTCGCGCGCAAAGAGCGCGACCTGCGCCACGCGCTGCTCCGTGCGCAGGCCCGCGACCTGTCGCCCACGGAGCGGCTCGAGGAGCGGGTGGGCGTCCTCGAGCGCACCTTTGCCGCGGCGGTCGCGCTGCTCGGGCAGGCTGACGACGCGCCCGCACAAGCCGCCGCTGCCCCAGCTAGCAGCGCGGCAAGCCCCTTCAGCCCGCACCCGTGGGACTCCCGTGGCGCGCCGTACGCCTCGCCCGCGCCGCCGCCGCAGACCCCTCCGCCAGCCGCCGCGCGCAGCAGCAGTCGCGAGGCGGAGCTAGCGAAGCAGGTCGAGGTGCTGACTGCCGAAACGGGGCACCTGAAGGCCGAGGTGGCCGAGGCGACGGCCGCGGCCGACAAGGCGAGAGCGGAGGCGGCGCGGCGCGTGCACGCCGCCGAGGAGGAGGCCTCCATCTCCAAGGCCGCCGCCGCCGCCGCCGCAGCCCGCTCGAGGGACCTGGAGGAGGCGGTCGAGGCTGCTCGCGCTAGAACACGAAGGCGTATTCTCGCATCTCAACTGGCGCTCGAGAGGGGGTGTATAGCGCTGCATGTCTGCCGTATCCAGCGGCATTCGCCTCCCTCGGGCTCACGCGGTGCTCGGAGTGCACTGCACAACACCGCCCTCCCCCGCCCCCACGTTGGCGTCTCAGGCGGCCCGCGAGGCGGAGCGGTATGCTGGGCTGCAGGCAAAGATGGAGGCGGCGCGCGCCGAGGAGTCGGCGGCGGAGGCCGCGGCGCTGCAGACGCGGCTCAAGCTGTCCGAAGCGGCTGCGGCGCGCGACGCGGTGTGGCGCGCCGCCCGCGCCCCTCGCTGTCCCGCGCACCTCACCCCTCCCGTCGCGTATGCAGGCGTCCAGCAGCAGCAGCGGCAGCGGGAGCGGTAGCGGTGGCGGGTCGCACGGCGGCGAGGAGGCGGGAGACGAGCCGGAGGGGGCGCCGCCCGCCACGGCTGCCCCCCCGCCGCCGCCGCCGCATCCTCCTCCTCCTCCGCCGCCGCCGCCGCCGCCGCCGCCACTGAACGGCGGGTCCGCCAACGGCGTCGCGGGCGTACGCCGGCTCGTCGGGTCGCTCACCCGAATGTACGTTGCGCAAGAGATGCGTGCGGCGGCGGCAGCGCGAGAGCAGGCTGCTGCGGCGGGGAAAGGGCCCGGCGACGGCGGCGGCGGCGGCGGCGGCGGCGGCGGCGGCGGCGGCCGCCGCCGGCAGCGGCCACCAACTCAGTGGGGGGGAGGCCGTTGGCCGACAGTGAGAGCGGCGGTTGTACGGGCGAGCTTTCCTCTTCCCTCCTACCTCCTCCCTCCTCCCTCCTCCCTCCTCCCTCCTCCCTCCTCCCTCCTCCCTCCTCCCTCCTCCCTCCTCCCTCCTCCCTCCTCCCTCCTCCCTCCTCCCCCCTCCCCCCTCCCCCCTCCCCCCTCCCCCCTCCCTCCCCGCTCCCCCCTCCTCCCTCCTCCCTCCCCGCTCCTCCCTCCTCCCTCCTCACTCCCTCCCTCCTTAGGCGCCGTGGCGGCGGAGCTGGAGGCGGCTCTCGAGGAGTTGCGGGCGGAGAGCGAGGCGAGGAGGCGCGAGGAGGCGCGGTAGAGCTCTACCGCCTAGCGGGAGAATACTTGTTCTTGTACTCCGACCAGCGCTCGAGAGGACACGTACACGCGCTCCGCTGTGTTCGACGAGGTATTCGTATCCTCGTACCACACGCGGTGCCTTGCGTGCTCTGCACCATCACCGTACCCCCGCCCTGACCGTGGCGCATTCACCCAGGCGCGGTACGACCGCGCCGCCTGCGCGCTGGTGCGCACGCGACGCGCGCTCTTGGGCGGCGTGCGTGCGAGCGTCCGGGCGCAGCTCGAGACGGCGGAGGCGGGGCGGAAGTGGTGCGTTGACGCCGCCGCCTCGCGGGCATGCGACGACGCTTTGCGGTGAGTGTCTTCGGGAGCACGTCCGCTGTAGGGTACCTCCGCCGAGGCTGCCTCCGCCGGCCGGCTGGCAGCCGCACACCGGCAGGGACTGCGCCCTGCGCGTGGACCAGGCGGACACACACACACACACACACATACACACACACACACACACACACACACACACACACACACACACACACACACACACACACACACACACACACACACACACACAACACAACACAACACAAGGTTGCGCGGTCCCCACCGCTGCCCCTCTGACGATCGCACTTTTGTCTGTGTGGCGATGCCTCTCCCTGAGAACGCACACAACGCCTCGTGTGCAATGCCCCCGTGTGTGTTCCGCGAGTGCGTCTGCCCTGTCGACCGTGCTTGGACGTGTGTATCACTGACTGACTGCCTGCCTGCCTGCGAGGACCAGGCGGGCCGCTTGGTGGGAGGGTACGGCGCCGACACGAGCGGCATGCTAGAGGCGGAGCAGCTGGAGGCGGAGATCGACTTCTCGACGCTCAAGGTTGAGGGCGAGGAGGAGGGGGAGGAGGAGGGCGGGGAGGGGTCGCCCGACACGCGGCTGGCGGACTTTGCGATGCTCGTCGGCGGCGGCGGCGACGACGCGGACGAGGAGGAGGGCGAGGACGACGAGGCGGCGGCGGCGTCGCTCGTCGCAGAGGTCGCGGCAGAGATGGCGGCGGAGGTGGCGGCGAGGGCGGCGCAAGCGGCGCCGCCCGAAGAGCCGCCGAGCAGCGTCGAGCCCCGCCTGGCAACTACGCCGCAATTTAGGGCCGACGCGAAGCCGCTTGACTCGCCGCCCGAGGCGCCGCTTGAGTCGCCGCCGCCGTCAGAGGCGGTTGAGCCGCCCGAGGAGGCCCCGTCGGAAGGTCTTCCGGCACCGCCGCCCGAGGCTCCGCCCGAGGCGTTGTCGCAGGCGCTGACCGCGCCGCCGCTTGACGTGCCGAGCGACGCAACGGAGGCGCCTGAGGCGGGAGGGGACGCATTCGCGCACGAGGCCGTGGACGGCTTGCCCGGCGACGAGGATGGGCCGGATGGGTCGGTCAAGCAGTGGATGCCGTCTGCCCCGCCGCCAGAGCACAACAGCGGTCTGGCGCAGCTGCCACCGCTCGAGTAGCGATCTCTGCAGACGCGCCTCGTGTGTGATGTGCAGATATTGATGTGATTCGTGAGCGTTCGGGGGCTGGGGCTGGGTGTGGAATTTGGCGAATTTGGCGAACACGGCGCGTGAGATCTGTAACTGCGGTGTGCGGAAGCGCGTGCTGCATTTCTATCGTTGTGCTTGCTCTATAGCCTGTTGTCGGGTTTCTCCGAATCGATTCTCACACATTCACATATCCACGCCGATTGTCCGGATTCCGCGCGAGGGCGGAAGAGAGGTCTGCCTGGCCCGGTTGGATTTTTCCACGCGTGCTTTTCAGCCATATCTTGAGGTACGGCTGAAAACATACACGACGCCGCGCGTATCGTCCAGCGTGTGTGCGCGCCACATTACCCCCCAAACACCGCACGCGCAGGCGCCTGTGCTGCCTGTGTGTGCGCGTGAGCTGGCGTGATGGCCACAGAGCTGTTGGTGCCCGCCCGCGTATGTGCCGCAATATGCAGGGTTCGTCGCCGCATGACTGGATATGGCTGAGTTCGCCGGCGCTGGCCTCCTTGTGCGGGTTTGTATCCCGATTTTCGAAAGTAGGCCGTCTCAGCTATCGCATCTCCATCGGCTGAGGCGGCCCGACCGGCGGTGTGACAGGATCCTCTCCGCCACCGCCGTCGCCAGGAGACTCGTTGGGATAAAGACATCTGCCGCACGCGCCTGTAAGGAAGATGGCACGCGACAGGGTT